CCACATTGCCAACTTTCTTCATATTTCACCTATAAATACTTAGTTTTCATGATTTTATGTGAATTTTTGTTTCTTCTAGTCCACTTATTGCWATACGATTCATAAACACTGTGAAACTATTGGTCGAGCTGTTCAGGTAGTTAATCTAGATCCAGCTGCTGAGCATTTTAACTACCCAGTAACAGTAGGTGAGATATATATTAATTAATTAATAATTGCTATAGACAACTGGCATATAGTCATTGTTCACTTTTGAGGTTAAGGCTGAATATCCATTTAAAGATACAAACATACAGAGTATCGTAAACAATATTTAGTAGCACACACTGTATCACAAAATATATTAGTTAAAATGCAAGAAGTGAAAATTWCCATGGCCAGTTTGACCCTGTTTGCATATTTATCAGACATCTTCAATAAATGTAAATAGTGTCCTTCAAGATTCCCTTTKCCATCTTGAAAGGTARCCGTGCCTTTACATCAAAGAGACAACTGTTGRGYGTGCAATGATAGATACCTGTGAATGATTGTCTGAAGGTGTGAAAGAAGGTTTCTATSATTGCAAGTGCAACAGTCATCTTTTCAAGACRGCACAGGGAACTGTAAGGAYRACTATTGGTGTGTTGTTAAAAATGGTCATGGTAATGATAAGGATATACATGCAGCCCAAAGACTTATAGTCTTCAAAAATTACTTAGTTTATTTTTCTTCTTTATAGACATAAGAGAATTAGTTGAGTTAGATGATGTGATGGAWGCTGATGACTTGAAGCTTGGTCCGAATGGAGGATTAGTGTTCTGTATTGAGTATGTACTGGTGTTTTGTTTGTTTGCAAGCATGACATCTCATTTCAGTTTTTATTTTGTTTGAAACATTTGAATGGACACCAATGGAGGTGTGAAAAATATTTCAAAATTACCATTAAAGTACCTTAGGCAATTTTCATTGCTGGCCCTCATTTTATGTCATGTTATCTCATATACATCAAAGAATTGAAAACCCTTTGACAACTCACATTCAACCAACTGTGCCCAAATGTGATCCTTGTGTATTTCTGTTTGAGGTGTCATGCTAGTTATTATTTTGGAAATGTTTGGAGTCCAAAAAAGACTTAAACTTTAGCAAAACAGCATTCTCAAATTGTCTACTTTCTCCTTGCTATTTAGCAAAATATTTTAATTTTTGTAATGTCACTCCTTTAATCAAGAATTGTTTTACCGTAATTTAGAACTTATATTACAATAAAAGTATAATCGATTTTATCATCTTCTGCTGTCAAGCCCTTGTCTTGTTGCAAGTGAAGTTTCAAGCTCAAGCTAACTAATGCAAATTCTTTCAATTCTTTCAATTGTGGCACAATGCACATGGTCATTAGAACTTCAATTTATGCATTATCACTGTTTTTGTTGTTTGGCCAGTAACTTCTTGGGGAAACAGACTTAAGTTTACTACTAGTTTACATAATCCTTTGATGAAGAATTATTTTGAATCAACAGATATTTTATTCAAAACTTGGAGTGGCTAAAAGAACAGTTGGGTGAAGATGATGATGATTACATATTATTTGACTGCCCAGGTATTGTATATTAGCTACCATGATTGACAGAGAGATACAAATAGCTAGAGTTGGACAAAGACAATAAAGTACTGCATCAATATCATTTAATTTCTAACTGTACTAGTATGCAAGCAGAAATATATAATTTTATTGAATTGAAATTTTATTTTATTGAATATTCCCTAGTAATGTTCAAAGTGTCAAGAGGTTAAAGATTCCAATCACTTTATGAATTTCTGTTACACATGATTATTGTCATTATTAACAGGGCAGATAGAGCTGTACACCCATTTACCAGTCATGCGGCAGTTTATTGAAACTCTTCAGCATTGGGATTTCAGAGTTTGTGGTGTGTTCCTGATTGACTCTCAGTTCATGGTTGAATGCAGCAAATTCTTCTCTGGGATTCTCTCAGCATTGTCAGCCATGGTTCAGCTAGAAATTCCCCATGTGAATGTCATGACAAAAATGGACTTGTTGACAAAAAAACAGATGAAAGAAGTAGAAAGGTGCAGTAGTACTAATAGAAAAACAAGGTCAATAGAATTAGAAGGATTTCTAGAGTTTAACTATGTATAGCCATATTTACAGGCATATATAGCCAGTTGTAATTTAGGGAGATACTCTCCTTTATTTGCTGTGCCACACAATAGGGTATGGTGTTTCAGCTAAGTCTGGGCTAGGGGATCCTTTTTCAACATTTTCTCTGGGARGATAGGGTATGCTTTTTGTCTGGGATAGGGTCAAGGTTTTGAGGATATGGTGTCACATGTGCAGTATAGCACTTATCACATTTTTCTTACAACCTTTTTCCTTTGCTATAGATTTTTAGATCCTGATCCAAGAATGCTTGTTGAAGAGTTAGGATCTACAATGAATAAAAAGTTCTGTCGCCTCAATCATGCATTAGCACACTTGGTAAAGCATTAATATTGGTCACAGGTCTATCCAATTATATTTTAACTTGTAAAACAAGCCTTTAAGGATTCTGTTGTCTCTCTCTCTCTCATATTCTCTCCTCCCTTTGGTGCATGTGACCTTTTTTTAATTGATCATTCTCATGTTTACATATCATTTGCTAATTTCAAGAATGACATTCAAACAAATACTTCAAGAGTGAACTGTTCAGCCCCATTGGCTCATTCACACCAAATTTAGTCTAATTGACCATTGCAAAGGTCTTAATAAGTAGTTTGCTTGTTGGTCAGTGTGTTACGCCTATGAAGACTGCCAAATGATTGTAACAAAGCAGGTTTCAGCACTTTTTCTTTTATAGATTGAAGACTACAGTATGGTGTACTTTCTGCCTCTAAATCCAAATGAAGAGGACTCAATAGCATTCATTCTGAATCAGATTGACATGGCCATACAATATGGTGAAGATGCAGACATAAGAACTAAAGATTTCAATGAACCAGAGAAAGAAAATGATGACTTGCCAGTGGATGGTTAACAACCCAATTATACAAAATGATTGAAAAATCAGTGGCCAATATAATCTTGGCCCTTGTTCCACTACTGCATCCCACAAGCACTACTCAAATTTATGCATAGTATTGTATTGTATTATATCCACATAACAATAGATTAACAATACAACTCTTTTAAGAATGACGCAATACAATAGAATACAATACAATGGCATGCATAAATTTGTCAGAGTATTGGACAAGTATGGGCATTACATTACAGTGGAATTCTTCATGAGAGCTATGTAAGGACCTTGGAAAAATAGACTCTGCATTCTAACTTATATATTCTACAAAATATTTGATTTAATAGTAGACAAATGTAGTAAGCAACAGTATTTTTAATTTTCAAAGAGCTTGTTAACATTCAAAGTAAACAAGTGCAATAAAAATGGTTATTTTGTACTTGGATGACTACATTAGTAGTACTAAATAAGGGTAAGCAAAGTGATTAGATGGCTGATTAGAAACTTGGCTGACATTGGGTGATTTCATCTCCTACTCTACACCAAGGAGTTCTACATCAAAGATCAGAGTTGCATTTGGTGGAATAGTGCAAAATGTTAAGGAGAAATATTAGTTAATATCAAAACATCATTCAAATAATATAGCTGTGAATTAAAGATACAAAGTATAWATATAAAAGTTTGTTGCACATTTAGTTTCATAAAATGCATATATTATTTAGGTTGCTGGAGTTGATGAAAACATTGTGAGTTATTATTTTCTCAAGCTAATTCTGAGTAATTATGTGATTCTGAGTTCTACATGATCATCTGGATAGGTCTTTTGCATGAAATGGTCACATGGTACTAAATCCAYCATACTGGATGGCAATGTTCAAAACTAAGAAAAGTCAAGCTTATTACATTGTTATTTACATTCATTTGCCATCCAGTATGGTGGATTCAGTACCATGTGTCCAATAACAGGGATGTCAACTCTCCCAGATTAGCCAGGAGACTCTTGATTTCAGATTAAATCTTCTGGTCTCAAAAATGTAGACCTAAATCTCCCAGACAACACAATCGATACTTATATCTGTTGATACTTATATGAAAATAACCTAACCTAGAGGATTTGAACATTTTACTTAGGTAATGAGGATATATCTCCACAAATCAAAACTGATTAAGTAATGAAATAACAATGAAGGTGTAGCTTGGACCTTTATTGATAGCATARCCAATTGAATAAATTCAACCAAAAAAAGTTGAATATAAATTGGTTCAATTGATTGTCAATTGATTTTGGAAATGAGCACAATCAGACTTTTGTTCAGAAAATATAAATGGTTGATAAAATGTATAAAAAGAGGCCAAATACAATAAAAACATGTTGGCTTGATAATYATTACCGTGTCCAGGCCAAAGGCCTGCGGCAYGGTCTTAAAATGCAGTAACTTCGCTGGACTCGAGCACTTGTTTTTTATTCATTTCTTTTTAACTGAAATATAGTTCTAGTCATGTTAATTTTTCTGTAGATATTTGTTTAATTATTATTTTTGAGCCGTTATTTTGATTTTACTCAGAATATCATACTCGAATAGCATAAAACTGACGATCACGGGTTAAAGCTCCTTCTAAACAATTCTTTGTGGTTTTTTTTTTACTTTGAAATATGTTTGTTCTGTTTTTCTCTCTAAAATGCGAAGCGAACTTCCATCTTATAAATTCTCCAAGTATAATGCGAATGTAATCTGAATGCTAAATTTTTGCTACAATGATAAAAATATCAAAACRAAATGATGTGAAAAGATTTTAGGTTTTGGAACTCCAAAACCTATAAATATATATTTATGAATCCAAGATGTTTGGTAGGGAGCATATATCTTATTAAAAAAAATGGAAAAAGATTTTTCCAGGGAAATATTAGTACAAATTGTTGCATGTTGCTATATTAGATCTATGTGTACCATCGTTTGGAGYAAGTTAGAGATAATGTTCTGTACAGTAACCTGTGAAAGTGCAGTAAAAGGATATACACCAGGGTAGCCTTTTGATCCATAAGCATAATCAGGTGAACATGTTAGTTTAGCACATTCACCTACTTTCATCTGAAAAATTAACATATATTGTAAAATCACTCAGACACCAAATAGTAAATGAAATGATTACACATGCTATCAATCTGTCAATAAAATTACAGCTTGACCAGATTAACAAGACTTTTTTCTTTGTGTGTGTGTGGTGTTTCTAGATACAAAAGAGTAACAGACCTGTCCCTCCAACCCCTGAAAAAAATCCATATCTTCAGAGAAACTTAACTCAGATCCCATTGATACTGCCCACATTTTTGTTTCTTGGGAGCAGGAAATTTGTGTATAATCATAATTTGTGTATAATCATAATTTGTATATAATCATAATTTCACCACACTTGTGTAAATTCTTGTGCGTTAATAAGAGTGTATTAATGTTTAGGAATATTTTAGCTCAAGTTGGAGCACAGATTAATGATTAACTTAATTTTAATTTATGCTTAGAATCAATAAGTAAACACTACTACTTTGAATTGATATTAATGACAAGTTTAGTCAAGGTCACCATATTTTGCAATATACAAATGTAAAACTAGTTATACCAGTTTATACAACTTTTCAGTAAAATCAGACGTTTTGATTGGTTGGCTTTCGTGTGTTATCAAAGTATAGATACACGGATTACGTCAAAACTAATTGTTTGTTGTATAAAACAGATAGATCTCATTTTTCCGTGCGTGTGTACTCTAATAGATACACAGATGACGTCAAAATGTAGTGAGAACAACAGTCACGCACTCGACTGCGTCTCGTGCATACTTTTTTGTTCTCACTACATTTTGACGTCATCTGTGTATCTATTAGAGKRCACACGCACGGAAAAATGAGATCTATTTGTTAAATAACAATTGTGAAATAAGTTTAGAATAAACCACGAGTATATGATTGTAATAGAAGATACACATGAGCTATTGAAGAATAAAGGTGTTCTGTGGAGAACGTTGTGCATTATGAACYAGCAAGCAAAACCGGTCTGCACAATTAATAAGAGGACATGCAAACTGTGTTAACACCATCATATCACACGCGCACGCTCAGAGAAGAATGGTTTTCGCTATTTTTAGATGTGATATTAAAGTATGCAGTTTATTCAATACTTTAGCATTTTACTAGTATGATGTCAAGAGATATCAATAAGAGGACATTCAACTCAAAACTGTGAACAATTTGATAATTATCAGGTAATCCTTTTATCTAGCATAAAAGGAATAGAAATGGATTTTTTTTCTTATATTACCATGTATCGTTATTCGTTATTTTTATAACATTWATAAAGCTCGGAAGGGTTGCCCGTGGACCATGGCGCTTGCCTTTAAATCAAGTGTAAATGAATGTATGATAATCTAATCTCTTATTCAATAAATGAGGAAAAAGTTTTAACATTAAAATATACTTTGACAAGTTTGTGTGGGAATTACCTGACAAACTCCTTCATCCCAACCTACAAGAACAATGTTGAATGACATTACAGGGTTATTAATGATCAAGGATTATCCCCAGCCCCAGGGGGTTACCAACACAAGGGGAGGGATACTGGTGCACTGAAACCTTTTTCCATTAGAAATCAAAGCGTGCACAAAGTAAAAACGTTTCCCAAAGAAGATTTATGCATCAAGTAAACCCGAAAAAAAATCGAATTAAGGCAAGCTTACCTCTGATGACTTGGCCGGCTCCTAATGTGAATTTAAACGGTTTACCACGGTCCCTTGACGAATCAAACTTTTTACCGTCTATCAATGTGCCTTTACAAACAAGAGTAAGCTTACATTGATAATTCATTTGAGGGGAGAATGAAAACTTATTGAAGTTTTAAAGCAAAGAACAACTTGTCAGGAGCACGAACAACATTCCGTCTTACTTACCGGTGTAATGGACAACTACTGTTTGACCCTGCTTTGGACGTACGCCTAAATTGATATYATGCACGGTTATTGTACACTTAATACTGATTTTCCATCGTATAGATTATTCRTTACCTTCGCTTTGCCTAGTTTTTTCGACTTGAACTCCCATGCTGAAAAAACAACGATCGAACGATTTGACACACGCTCAGGGGAAATACTCCCAATATGCATTGCAATTTTSCTCAACCTCGTTCTCAGTCCTCGAAGGGCCGGGCTTCGGAGATCGATGAGAAWTTTTAGTCGGACTATAATAATTTAACAATTTCTCCAAATTTCGTTTGCTTTATCATTTAATGGAGACGTGTATATAAATCTGCTAATGTTTTATCTCTTCTGGTTTTCTCTCCTTCTCCCCCACCCCTCCTTTTCTTGGGCTGGCAGGCTTGATTTATACCCTCCCCTCCCCGATTATATATTTGACTGCTTGTTTGTTTTGCCTAGGTGAAAAGAAAGTTCGTGAGCGTGGCCATATGGTTCAGAAATTTCTTGTGCTGGGTGCGAGCTCCAAGGAGTATTTCCATAATCGAAAACACTAAATCCTTGCACAGTAAGATTGGATAATTTTCATGCGTTTGATTTCATATTATTCGATTTTCTTATTTCATTCTGTGGTGGCCATTTTGTGTTTTTAGATGTTTTTGGCATTTTGCTCCATGGCTTTTCGCCATGGTCGTTAGATTACATGAGAAAAGAAACGTGAGATGTTTCATTTGGTTATAGCAGTGACACAGTAATAAGAAAGGCCAAAGCTTCAAAATACTTCACGGTAAGAATTAGCGAATGATATAAGACTGAACGAATTTTCTCATTTAAAACTTATAAGTAATATACTTAAGCTTATTTCTTACCAAAATTAAGAATATGTTGAAGTGTGAATCGTCTGAAATGATTTAGTTTGCAATGGTTTTTCTTTTTCTGTAAAGATCATTCAATGCAGCCTTCAATTCTATTCATTATATAAGCTTAATTTACTTTCATTATCTCTGATTATCAACAAGAAAGTGAAAAATGCATGAAAATAATAACGAGAAAGCTCGTTAGAAATGAAGAAAAGAACATTAATTAATAAGCAGCCGAATTATGATAGAGATATAGCAGATTTTGAATGACACACAGAATTAGCAGATTACAAATTATAAGAAAAACATTGAAATGACAAAAACAGCTCAGCCATAGTACATCATCAGTCACAGTCATGTAAGAAGTAGTTTTTGTTAGTCTCTTCTAATAGGGGGAAGCAAGGGTGGTCCAGCAGTGAGAGCGCCGGCCTGTCACCGCTGTGGTCCTGGGTTCGATTCTGACTTAGGATCAATGTGGCTTGAGTTTGTTTCCGTTCTCTCCCTTGCTTTGAGGGTTTTTTCTCCGAGTTCTCCGGTTTGCCTATCTCAGCAAAAATGGAACATTTCGATCCTAGCTGTGCTCCGTGATCAGATATGGGTCGGTTGGTTGACTGCTTTGTGTGTGTGTTGTAACTATGTGATTGTCCTCTTAATGATAGCGCCCTCATATACTGCATAACCGACTCGATCATGTGAGCTGTGTCCTTCGTAATTCAGCACTCGGGCTGCAAGGAAGGGCCATTAGCTATCGCCAATTATCACCAATTATGACTTCCGGATTCGTCAAATTTCCTCCTCGAAAGTAACGGCTGTTTACCCAGGCACACCATCCTGGAGAGGAAATTTGACGAAACTGGAAGTCACGGCTGTTAGAAGAGACAAAGCTTTCGTACACTCATGGACAGAATCTGCTCTTATAATTATGGGAGGTACGGAGGAGAAGTTTGAGCCTTGGAGAGTAATGTCTTTAATGACATTTGTAAGGTTAGGCAGGATAGGGACATGTCTTTAACTTTAAGTTGGTCTAGGGGAGCCACGTCCTCATCTAAAGCAATGTGCATTAAAATTACTGTCAGTTTATTTAAGAATATATTTTTATATCAGCCAGTTATGAAGTAAACTGATCCCTTGTAACTTCCCTAGTACATCAAAGCCAACACTATATTATTGTAATTTATGATAACCTGGTCATGTTAATCAAGAATGAACTCTAATGAATATGAACATTTCTTAAATTGTTCCAATACATGAAATCCCAAGGTGTGTGTAAAATGTTGTTTTTCTATTCCTTCTAGTTACCTATTAATCATGGGCGGAGCTGTAAGTGCTGGCGAGARCAATGATGAATTGATTGATAACCTAAAAGGAGCAGGATACATCAGGACAGAGTCAGTTGAGCAAGCATTTCGTGACATTGACAGATCAGAGTATTTCCCAGAAACAACCAAGCAACATGCCTACAAGGACGTTGCATGGAAACACAAAAATATTCACCTTTCAGCCCCATGCATTTATTCTGAGGTGATGGAGTCACTTGAACTAGTAGAGGGTCTATCTTTTCTAAATCTTGGAAGTGGCACAGGTTATTTGTCAACATTAGTTGGGCTTATTATAGGACCCACTGGAACAAATCATGGAGTAGAAATTTTTGAGGATGTTGTTGAATATGCAAACAAAAAGGTACAGAAATTCATGGAAACAAATTCAGCATTTAAAGGAATAAACTTTGGCATTCCTGTCTTCATTGTTGGGAATTGTCTTGCCATGGATGGAATGTATCGTCAATATGACCGTGTTTATTGTGGTGCAGCTTGTCCAGCAGAATATGAAGACTACATGAAATCATTGATAAAGAAGAATGGTATTTTAGTCATGCCGTTTAAGGATAATGTGAGTATTGTCTAATCAATATCAGCATTATTTCAAAAATTAAAGATATCAATTCCTTCCCTGATGGTTATGTCTCATGGTCACATCAAAAAAAGCAAGAGATGCAGCCAGGTGATCGGCGCGCGTGCACGGGG